TTTCCTGGTCCCTTATTTAAGTTTTCTAGATTCCTGCTATGAGTGAGACCATCCGGTATTTTTCTTTTTCTTTTTGGCTTATTTCGCTGAGCATGATCCCTTCCAGCGCCATCCATGTTGCTGCAAATTGCATGTGCTTATCTTTTTTGAATGCTGAGTAATATTCCATGGTGTATATATACCACATCTTCTTGATCCAGTCATCTATTTTTGGGCATTTGGGTTGTTTCCAAAGCTTAGCTATTGTAAACAGTGCTGCTATAAACATAGGGGTGCAGGTGTTCTTTGGAATTGATGTTTCTGTGTTCTTTGGGTAGATACCTAGGAGTGGAATTGCTGGATCATATGGAAGCTCTATGTTTAGTAGGTCCAGAAATCTCCACACAGCTCTCCATAGTGGTTGGACCAGTTTGCACTCCCACCAATAGTGCAGAAGAGTTCCTTTTTCTCCACACCCTCGCCAACATTTGTTGTTGCTAGTTTTTTTAATATGTGCCATTCTCACTGGTGTTAGATGGTATCTCATGGTAGTTTTGATTTGCATTTCCCTGATTACAAGTGATGTTGAACATTTTTTCATATGCCTGTTGGCCATTTGCATTTCCTCTTCAGAGAAGTTTCTTTTTAGCTCTTCTGCCCATTTTTTAACTGGATTATTTTCTTTGTTGTTGTTGAGTCTCATCAGCTCTTTGCAGATTTTTGTGATCAGTCCTTTATCATTAGTGTTGGGTGCAAAAATGTTCTCCCAGTCGGTGGGGTTTCTCTTTGTTTTTGTTATTGTCTCTTTTGCTGTGCAGAAGCTCTTTAATTTGATGTAGTCCCAGCTGTTTATCTTTGCCTTCACTATCACTGTTTTGGGTGATGTGTCTGTAAAGATGTCTTTGATGTGCAAATCACGTAGTGTTTCGCCTATATTTCCTTCTATATATTTTATGGTTTCAGGTCTTATGTCTAGTTCTTTAATCCATTTTGAGTTGATTTTTGTGTATGGTGTGAGGTAGTGGTCAAGCTTCATTCTTTTGCATGTAGCGACCCAGTTTTCCCAGCACCATTTATTGAACAAACTTTCTTTGCTCCAATGCATAGTCTTTGCTCCTTTGTCAAAGATTAGTTGACCATAGATCTGTCGGTTTATTTCTGGATTTTCTATTCGATTCCATTGGTCTGTATGTCTGTTCTTGTTCCAATACCATGCAGTTTTGATTATTATGGCTTTGTATTATAGTTTGAAGTCTGGGAGTGTGATGCCTCCATTCCCTTCTTTTTTTTTCAGGAGAGCTTTGGCTATTCGGGGTTTTTTGTGATTCCATATGAATTTCATCAATAATTGTTCTATTTCTTTGAAGAATGACATTGAAATTTTGATTGGAATAGCATTGAATCTGTATATTGCTTTTGGAAGGATGGCCATTTTAATAATGTTTATTCTTCCAATCCATGAGCAGGGGATGTCTCTCCATTTCTTTGTGTCTTCTTCTATTTCTTTTAACAGTGTTTTATAGTTTTCTTTGTATAGGTCCTTTACCTCTTTTGTTAGATTTATTCCCAAATATTTGATTTTTTTGTTTCAATAATAAAAGGGATGGTTTTTTTTTATTTCTTCTTCTTCAGATTTATTGTTTGTGTATAGGAAGGCTACTGACTTTTGCGTGTTGATTTTGTATCCTGCCACTTTATTGAACTGATTGATTAGTTGAATTAGTTTTTCTGTGGAGTTTTTGGGGTTCTCTACGTATATTATCATATCATCTGCAAATAGTGATAGTTTGACTTCTTCTTTTCCTATTTGGATTCCTTGGATGTCTTTCTCTTGTCTTATTGCTCTGGCTAGGACTTCCAGTATTATATTGAAAAGCAGTGGTGAGAGTGGACATCCTTGTCTTGTTCCAGATCTTAATGGAATTGCTTTCAGCTTTTCACCATTGAGAATGATACTGGCTGTTGGCTTGTCATAGATGGCCTTTATGATGTTGAGGTATGTTCCTTGTATCCCAAGAATTTCAAGGGCTTTTATCATGAATGGGTGTTAGTGCATAAGACCTTTAACAGAAAGGAGTTTTAATGCAATAACTAGAAGAGAAGGGAAAGAATGGAGGATAGTTTTCACACAAAATACCCAAAATTACCACCCCTTGTGGGTAAATGCCTAACTAACCAGGGTTAACCCAAAGAAGGACCACTTTGCTACAAGTCTAGGGTAACTTCTGGTGGGTACCCATAGGAAAGGGACAGAAGAGGCCCAGCACATCTGGGACAGAGGGAGCAAAATCAAAATCAAGATGAGGGCCTCCCTGGTGCTAAGTTTCAGCACTATGAAGCTATCAGCAGCCACTGCAGCATGAATTTGATCGCCAGCCAGGGAGCTGACTCATATGGCACAGCGGACATCTCCTGTCTCATCCACTGCTCCCCTCAGCAGTGTATTTTAGTCAGTCTGCCTGTTGTGCTCCCCACTCTGTCTCTGGTGAATCCTCTTACCACCTCCCCCAACCCCCGCCGCACCTCTGGTCTAACCCCAGTTCTTATGTGCATAAATAAATAAAATAAATCTTGAAAAAAAAAATCCAAAATCAAGATGAAAGCTGTCATTGTTAACCTCCCCATGGGTCTCTCACCCACATCTGTTTCAATCAGTCCAAGGCCAAGAAGCACCTGCAGCTTCTTCACATGTTTCTATGTTCCATGTTACTTCCTCTTGATCACCTCCTTGCTCTCCACCCGCTTCCCTCCTTTTCCAGGCTCCTCTCCAGCTTCTCCTCTTTCCTTCTCAGCTCCACCCTTCCTTGGGTGGGGCAGGGAACCTGGAACCTCCCCTTTTCCTGGGGATGACCCTGTTACAATTGTGTATGTGCTGTGTGCCAGGCACAATCTGAGTGCTTTGCATGAATTGTTCCATTTGGCTCTTGGTCAGATCCTTGGAGGTAGATTCTTGCATTATCTTCATTTCTTTGAAGAGTAAACAGGTAGGCAACAGTTAAAACAACCTGTTCATGTTACACAACTTGCAAACTACTGACCCAAGCTTAAAAGAAAAACATGGGAAACTAACCACATAGTGAAGGATGGAATTAGTTGTGAAGATGCCTCTTGGGTCATTTGTGTTTGTAAAGTATTTGTCATGGTAATTTCTAGATGCAAAGTAATCCTGTCTTGCTCATTAAGAAACTGTCTTGGAACAGATGACTAACTTGCCTCCTTGTTTCTGGGTGCAGAGGGTGGCAGTACCGTCTCCATGTGAACAGTGGCAGCAACCAAATCCCCAGTCCCCCCATGGCCTCAAGCCCACTTCTCACAGTCAAAGCCTGCACCCCCAACCCCAACTCTCACAAGGCAAGAAACTTGCCTGTGAATTACTTGCAGGTCATCCAAGCTCGCTGAGAAAGGATGGGATCCGGCTCCTGATGATTTCTATCTAAATGCATATTAAGTGGGGTGAAAATCTGAAAAAATGAGTAAGATTGCCTCACTGGTGACCTGGGGTGCACACCTCCCCTCACAGTTCACAGGCATGAGAGCTGGGGTCTGGTGGGGCAGGTCACCTGCGGGAATGGGGACACGCTACATGCTTATTCTTTTTTTAGCCTTTTTATCTCAAGAAGGAATATAATATCAGAGTGCTAACATTACATGGTATACTGTCAGGTGGATCTTTTAAAAATCACACGGTTTTGTGAATTAAAAAGATGTAGTTTAATATCTGGGTCACTAAGAGCATATCTCTTCAGCCAAAGCAAGGCAATTATCCATGTTGTTCAGGCAGACATTCTATCCAATTTAAAGCAAATGGAGGGTTTTTCTCATTGTAATTTAGAAACAGCTTCCCCCTGAGAGCCCAAAGGGTCACAAAATTAGAATAATTTAACTAGGAGGCCTCTTGATGATGTTTTTCACAGCTGGAGAATACTATTATACATTTGCCTAATGCACAACATGTTATGGGGTTGTGGTTAATAGGGAAACACATTTTTTTTTGTATATTAGAGTCAGATGTTGGACAAAATAATAACCTATTCTCAAAAAAGGTAAGTCATTGGCCTCAGTATTAAGACTTATCTAGTTCTACTAGGGTCTCCTTAAAATATGAGATTAAAGGAACAAGGAAATGGGTAAGAACATTGTGATTTTTCCCCAAAGTATGTTTAAACTTCATCAGTTTTCCCACAATATTTTATCCTTTAAAGTATTCCAGTTACAGGGCCTCCCCGGTGGTACAGCAGTTGAGCACTGGGTTGCGAAGCTGCCCGTAGCCTCTGCAGTGCCGGTTCGATCCCCGGCCACCAGGCGAGGGTCCCACATGGCGCGCAGACCTCTCCTGCCACCTGCTGCTCTCCTCAGCAGCATACTTTGTCAGTCTGCCTGTTCTGTTCCCCGCTCTGACTCTGGTAAATTCTTTCACCTTCCCGCACTTCTGACTGTACCCAGTGCTTGTATAAATAAATAAATCTTTAAAAAAAAAGTATTCCAGTTACATTAGAAAAATATGAGAATTTCTTTATTTCATTTTATTTTTAGAACAAAGTATTTCTGAAATCCATTTGGTAATAAATATTTTAATAAATATAAATAAATATAGCTTAGTTCACATGCTTTCATGAACACAGACTATATAAATAAATATTTAAAAATATACTATGCCTGAGTGTTTGTTTCTACAAACACTTTGGTACAGAAATAGCTTATAAATTTTTGCTCTTCTATTAAAAAGAAAAGCATTTAGGGAGGACATTTTCCCTCTTTAGCAAATTTCTCATGAAAATCTAAAAACAATTTATCCATAGCAAATGTGAACTACATGTAATCAAAGATATTATGTGGATATAACTGCCACACTCTTCAATTTTGGGTGGTAACAAATGTAAACAGTAGGAGAATTATTGTACTAGCTTAAGCAAGACCACTCCAGCCACCTCCTCCCCAGTTCCCAACCTATATCCTGTTATAATTTCTTTGGTTCAAATTTTCATAAAAATGACTTTAAAGCTGGGTGTGACCTCAGCTTTTTAGGAAGACATATAGCTCATCATTCTATTAATAGTGACTGCACGGATTCTGAAAGCATGCAGAAGTATGCAGAGCTTGATTTTGGCTCTATAAAAATCTGGTTCTTCATCGGAGGGTTTTTGTTCCAGTTCAGGGGGCTCACTGCTGAAGTTCAGGGCCTAGGAAAATAAATATTGAGCATGACATATATGGTATTCCAACATTAAAATGCTCATCTGAAAAGAAGGGTAAAGCCAACCATGTCTCTGAACCCCCAACCCACTCCTTCATTATACCCCCTAAGCCCCAACCCAGATCTACTCCCCACTAGCTGGCTGTGCAGAATCTGAGAGAAGAAACACTTATTATCCAAGCACAGGCAACTTCTGTGAGCTCTGAAAAGACCCCTTAGAAAGTCATCTGTGGGAGTTGTGTGTTAGAAAGGAACAGTTCTGCAAAGATGGCATCTGCTGCTATTCCTAATTAATTTTTATGATACATTAAGAATCTCAGTCCTTTTTGGAACAGAGAGGTGATAGATTGCTACTGATCAGAACTCTATCAGAACATATTTAATAAAGTTACTGACATAATAAACCTGACAATGGATTTCCCAGCTTAAGCACTTAAATTTGAGAACACAATGCAAGTTGCATAATGATTGCAAGTTGCAATCAGTAGCAATCTACTGATTGCTAATAGAATTGAATCTAGTGATCGTATCAACAACTCTTGGTCCTGGAAATGAAGTATCATCTACAACTTTCTAGATTTTTTGATAGTTGCATGATGTTCACCACCTTTCAAACAGGCCATATGCCACCAGAAACTAAGAGTAAAAGAATGAAATAAATAATTCCTTCCTGAACAATGGTTTGTGACATCAATTTTTACTCCAGGCCCTGCTCACCAATCATCCACCCTGCTCTCCTTACATGTGCTACGGTGATTCAGAAGATCATAGCAAGTTCCTATAAGTAACACTCGTGTTCCCAGGTGATGGGACAGCACTCATATTTTAGCCCACATGGGTCAACTACCCAGGCAGAAACCCCGCCTGTTCTTTTCAGCAATATCGGCAGGTAGGTACAGTCTGGTACAGCCTGGAGCCATTCTTCAGGGTAGAATGAGAAGGTAAGTCAGTGGCATCCCTTTGGAGGAGATTTCAGATCCTGGCCCTGCCTTATATGCTCTGCGACTCCAGACAAATGGCCAAGTTCCTAAGCTTCAGTTTTCTTCCTTTTCAAAGGCTTGTTTATTTATGCATAGAAGAACTGGGGTATAGGGAAGAGGTCGGGGGTGGGGGGGCGTGTAGGTGAGAGGATTCACCAGAGACAAACTGAGGAGCAGGACAGGCAGATATACTGAAATACACTGCTGAGGGGAGCAGCCGGCGAGACAGGAGAGGTCTGCTGCGCCATATGTGGGTCAGCTCCCTGGCTGGGGATCGAACTCAGGCTGTAGTGGCAATGGTGCAGAGACTTAACCCCTTTGCCATTAGGTAGGCCCAGTTTTTCTCCTCTGTTGAACAGAAAATGTATGAACATGGCAGAGAGCCTGGGGCATGCCACATGGTCGGTAGGTGGCAGTCTGCGTTTCTTAATGTGGTTGATGCACATCTGCTTTGTCTCTAGAGGCACACTTGAGGCTAGCTTCTCTGGGGATTTTGAAGGTTTTATGCCTACTGGCTGTCAGCCTAAGGAAGTCTTACCTGCATCATTTCCTCAATAGCTGCCAAAAGGTTTTGATCTAGAACGATCTGCCCGTTAGGATCCATCGAAAGCGTTTCATTCACAGCCTGGAACTCCATCTGGTACATTTTCAGGTCCTCATAGATACTCCTACGGCATCGGGTCTGGGATGACACAATGGGTCAGGGGCCACGGAGATGGACTGAAAAACATTTCCTCCCATTTTGTCTGAGGAGAGTTTTGTGTCTTACCATGATAAAAGAGGCGTTTCTGGAAGGCAGGCAACTCTCAATCTAGAAGGAAAAATAACCAGGCATCAGATGTGAATTCACCATATGGGCTGATTGGTTTTGTGACTTAGAGTTATGACAGTGTTCTCTCTGCTCGCCTTGCACTTCTCATTCCAGAAAAATCAGGTATCAAAAATATTAACTCTTATTATAAATTTTTCTGATTTTTTTCTTCTCAAATATTTTTTTCTTAATTGTGGTAAAAAGGCATCATACAATTGTCATCTTAACTATTTTTTAATGTACAGTTCAGTAGTAATTCATTATATTCACACTGTTGTAAAAAAGCATCTGTTTTTATAATTTTTCTTCCAAACCTAACTTCTGAAGTAGGACCTGTTAAAGTCCTATGATGACAAGAAACTTGCACATCCCTGGAAGAAGCTGAGGTGTGGTGGAGAGGCCTTCACTTTATCACAAGCTTTGGGAAGAAAAGCATTTATACCGAGGTCAGCTCCGGCGGCAGGCAGGCCTCCACTGTGCCTGTTTTATCTTTTGTGATATCTACATGATCAATTTCTTCAGGGGTGCAGGAGTAATTTTCTAGGGTTTTTCTGGCCTGTAAAAGACAGGAGGAGAAAGTGGTTTATAATATTAATGAGGGACCTGGCTCCTCATGGGGCTGGCACTTTTGGCCTAGGAATGTTGGCTGCTCCCACCTCTCTGACCTGCAGGCTTTTCATAAGGCAGAGGAAATAGGTCATTTACATCCCCCATCTCCCTCTGCTGAGGATGGTTCTCTGGATGATACATTCTCCATTATGTAAACACTATAAATCATTTCAACAGCCTGTGCTAATCAGCTTCTACACCACGCTGCGACACTTGCTTCTGGTGAAACAGCTTTCTTCTTTTGCCAAAGTGCCTGTTTTTTATGAATATCTACTTCAAGTATAACTTCTTAAGGGGGGGCCTGTTAAGGTCACAAATTGATGGATATAACACCCTAAAGAAAAGAGGATATTTAATCTGCATATCACACACACACACACACACACACACACACACAGGCACATTGGAAAGCACTGCTAAATATAATTATAAAATTTATCCTAAAGAGTCAATCAATGGCAGTTTGGTTAAGATCACTATCCTTTTTCCATTCAACAGCCTAGGCTTGCAGGTACCGTACTCTGTGTTAAGAAACATGACAGAGAAGAGGACTGTCTATGTCTCCAGGGTTCCAAGTTCAGCTGTGGAGATAGGCAGGCAAGACCTAGTGCCTAGGAGACACATCAGCAGGTGAAAGTTCTGAAAATGGAGGCTCTGGGAAGAGGGTGGGAGAAAAAGGCTTCATGGAGATAGGACAGGTAAAGAAAGAGGGAGAATTTCAGGCACAGAGAACTGCATGAGCCATGAATCAAGACTTGACAGCACAGAAGATGTTTGGGAATAATTACAAAATCCCTGCCTGAGGGAGGCAGAATAATGCCCTCTTACCTTGCCCCCGCCCCCCAAAAAAGATATATACCCCCCAATTCTTAGAACTAGTGACTATGTCTTTATTGGCAAAGGGAAATTAGGGTGTAAACAAAACAAAGGTTGACCTTAAAGTGGAGACATGAGCTTCTATTATCCAGGATTATCTAGGTTGGTCGAATGTAATCACTGAGGCCTTGTAAGTAAGTAGGGAGGGAGCAGGACAGTAGACAGACTGTTGTAGAGTGAGAAAGACTCAACCAGCCACTGCAAGTTTGAAGACTGGAAGGGGCCACAAGTCAAGGAATGTGGGTGCCTCTAGAAGCTGGAAAAGGCAAGAAAATGGATTCTCCCCTAGGGCTGGGCTCTGCTGTCACCTTGGTTTATGTCCAGGGAGAACCATCTTAGATTTCTGCCCTCCAGAAGGGGAGAAAAATACACGTACTTTGTTGAAAGCCTCTAGCTTTGTGGTAATTTGTTACAGCAGCATAGAAAACAAATTTGCTGCTCCTCGAGATGTCCAAGCAGTCATGGCAGTCACTCTCTTGAATGTGGGCCCAGTATTGTAGTTCCTGGGGTCTTTTCAAGAGAAGCTGGAAATTTGAATTCTTAAGTGAAAGGTCCACTTTTTCAATGGCATCAAACTCAACAATCGAAATAAAATACAAATCATGGGCCAAATGCTACAAATCTGTGAGCCAGATATGGCCTGGGAATGGTGTGCCTCTGCCCCCGTTTCTGCAATAGCCAGTTGATTTGATCTGGCAAGTCTGCCAATGCAATGGTAAAAAAAAAAAAAAAAAAAAAAAACTTGAAAAGGGAGTTCTGCAATCTTTTGACCTTTAGTGCTGCATTTGGTAGTCAGAGTCAGCTTTTTCACATAAAATATGCACTTAAATCAGAGCTCCTGAATTTTACCCATATTGAATCTTTCTTCAGGAATCCAAGCCCTTATCTCTGCTATTTTCACCTGGTGAGCCATAGTTTTAATTAAGATTGATTGAATTGTAAGGAGGAATTGGCAGCCCATTACAAAAGATTAGAAAAGAAAAAGTTCTTTAAGAAGGACTTGTGGCATTGAGTTTAAGATTTTCATAAAACAACAAGCTAGAAAACATTCAAGAAAGATTTACTAGAGATCAGGAAGGCAAAAGGACACTTTGTGAAACGTTAGTCTTTGGCTGTTGCAGCAAAAGCAATGGCTGTGGAGCACTTTTATAGGAAAAAATTTGCATTCAATGTGAAACCTTAAAAAAATGAATGAAGTTGTAAATTAAGTTTAGGTTTCAAGCATGAAACCAAAAAAAAAAAAAAAGGAATGAAGCTGTCAATAAAGTTAAATAACGCTCTCCCTAGAAAATAAAGACTGGACACGCACTCACAGGTCCCCTGAATTTGATTCCAACTGTGCACTGCAGGGAGAGGCAGGTCTAATTCTTATCTGCCCCCAGAGCAGATTCTGCACTAACTGTCTCCTGGATTGATAAGTGTGTCAGAGAAACAGTGTGGGCCTGACACCATTCCATCTCTGCTGGCAGGCTACAGGGACACTGTAAATATCCACTATCCTCTGTGTAGACACAGCCCAAACACATGCCATTATAATTTATTACCACTCTTTCTTCCTCTGGAGACACAATTTCATTGAGATACTTTAGCCAATAGTTGGGCCATTTGTAAAGTTCCTTCTCTCTCTCTTGACAGCTCCTGAGTAACCCCCACGATTTCCCTGCAGTTTCTTCAGCAGAAGCCCCTTCCCCAGAAAGGATGCAAAGTGGGAAAGACTCACCTCCCCAAGCATGTTGCTGACTGCCTGCAGCAGACTTTGGGACAGGGTGAGGCACCGGGTAGTTCCTGGTTTTGTGGTAGTTGTGGGGAGGCTCCTGGCCAGACTGGCATGGACCAGGGAGCTTAGGAAGGCCACAAGGAGGAGGTCTGGAGGGAAGTGAGGGACAGTTTGAATTCCATTTGGCCTCCTTGCCTTCCATCTGTGCCCCCCCACCATCGCCCCATCCACCTTTTCTGGCATCCCCCGGCCCCCCTTTTCCAGCCTCCCTGCAGCACCTAAGAGATGGATGGAGTTCTTGGAAGTCATCTTGGTTCTCTGGCTAGGTGCCAGAGGGCTTTGAGGAACCCCTAATGAGTTCAGAGCACACTCATTAAAAGCCTCCATTTTACCAGCAGGGAAACTGAGGTCAGGAGGTGAAATGGCTGACTCAGATTCACATCCCACCCTCCCGGTGTTTTGGAAACAGTGGGTGCGACAGACCCACACTCAGAAGCCAGTGGTGTCTCCCCTCGCAGCTGAAGCTCAGGGAGCCCGGGGTGGTTCTCTCTGTGAAAAGGCCTATTTCCAGATTAAGAGAAAATGTCCTATTTAGCGCAAAGCAAACTCGCGCAACAGGTCTTCCCTCCTCTGCAGGAGATTGCAGATCGCCTCCCAGCCTCCCAGGCAGCAGCCCTGCGACCCCCACCCCCGGAGATCCGGGCGCGCCTCGCTACTCACTGCGCGGCGGGCACATGCTGAGCGGTCGCCGCTCGGTGGTGACAGTCCGTGGACACTGCCGGGCGCTGGGCGGCGGGGCTGGACTCCCACCGTGCGGGGCGCGGGGCTCGGTTCACTGCGCCGACGCTGCAGGCCCCTGCGGCTGGACCAGGACCGCAAGGCAGCAGGTGAGGGCGGTGGCTGGCCGGCCCGCTCAGAGTCACATTTTTATAACTGCCCCCGGGGGCCAGGACTTTCCCTGATGCTGGCCTCCTGCTTCTCTCTGCGCATCAGCTGTCAGGGACACGTGGGGTCTGGTCGTCGGCGCGCTTTCGGCTTCACCCAGTGCCCGCAGCAATTCCGGGACGTGACCGCCTGTTCCCCAACCCGCTCCCCCTCCCCCAGCTGCCAAAAGCGAAATTAGCTCAGAGTCTGCTCCGCGCGCACGCGCGGGGTCCTGGGCTCGGGAACCCCTGCCTGACACCTAGGCCCCCACCCCGCTGCTTCCCCAATCGCAGCTTACATGCCCCATCTCCAGCCTCTAACCTTGGCCACCGCCTCGACCCACCCTTGGCAGTGCCAAGCACGTTCTTTCTACATGGTCCTGGTCGTGACCTCCTGCCTGATTGAGAGGGGATGAGCGAATCATTCATTCGCGCATCACTTACATCAGGCGGCCCACTTGCAGGAGACCCTGCAGAGAACAGGCTCCTTGGGTGCCCCAGCGGGAGTTAATGTGTTGCTGTGTAGATCTCACACTTGAAACAGGATTAAACCAGCCTGGCTCTGCGATACCTGCTGTCTTAGAGAACCAGCGTCTCAGCATGTCCAGGAGGGAACCTTTGGAATTTAGTGGGATGGGTGCAGAGTCCCTGAAGGAGGGGGGTAGGGTTGGGATGGAGGGGACAGGGAGAGAGGAGGGGAGAGAGAGAGAGAGAGAGAGAGAGAGAGAGAGAGAGAGAGAGCGAGAGCCCCTCAGGAGGATCAGTAGGGCCCAGGAGACCTCGGCTAAGGGCCCCAGGAACAGGATCCCGATTGCTGCATACTGAGGCATGAGAGGAGTTAGACACTCCAATGGGATGTGACATAGGCATGCAGGGAGAAGGAGAGGCAGTGGACGGGGACCTGCACTTTCTGCTCTCAAAGGTGAGGTATGTGGGCAGTGCCATGAGGACGTAGATGCCAAGTTAATCAGTGTGTCTTCTGCTCTGAGGCTTATAGGCAGGAAAACATTGTTGGATTTGAAAGAGGGGAAGACCCCTTCAATAGTAGAATGAGAAACCAGGGGTCTGGAGTGGGGCAGAGGTGGCCAAGAACCTACTCAATATGGAGAAAAGAGGTGAACAGGCGGGGCCAAGACTTGGTATCTCCTAGGGCATGAGGGATGAAGACACAGACAATAGGTGAGTGGTGGTTGTTCTGGTTTCTGCACCAGGGTTACTGTAAGAAGGGAGTGAATCTGGAAGACACCGTGAGAATTTCCACTTGGATGTGCTGGGTTTGAGTTCCTGTGGGACTTTTCAGTTCAGTTATTTCTCCCACAAGTGTTAGTCACCCTGGGTGAGTGGAGGGAGGAGCCTGCTTGGTCACCCACTCAGAGCTTCCCATGGGTCTGGCTGCTCTAGGGTTTAGGACCTTCACGGAGGAGCTGCGAGGCCCACCCTTGTGCAGGTGTAGCTGTCCTGGGTGGGAAATTCTTTGGGGACACTGGAGGAGAGTGGCACTTCCTCCTTCTCTCTCTAAGTCCCCGTTGAAGTCCGGATGGGTGAGGTTGCTGTTACACTCTGAACACCAGGCAGGGCTGACTTCAACTGGAGATGGGATGATGGAGCAGGGAAAACTCTGTTGGCCCCCACTGAGATTCGTGCTCGCCTGGGCTGTTGGCATCAGCTCTCCAAGGTGAATCATCTGCTCCAGGGTGTAAGGCACCCACCATAAGGATTTTCAGATGTATGTAAAATGTGGATCTCTTAGGCGCCTTGCAGTGCTGTTGTCTGTGAATTCCTCTGGCAACAGAGACCCATGCATCATTAGAAACAATTGCGTTTGGCAGATTGTGAGAAGCAAAGGACAGGTGCAGGGCTGTGTGATTGCCATAGGTGTCCAGGATGGCTTTTCATGTACTAAAAGTCAGAATGAAGTCAAATTTATCACAACAGAGCTGTCGCTCCCTTGGAAGACTGTTTCCTATGGAATAGTACTTTTTGTGACATACAGAAGCACAAGTCCTCTGGTCAGAATGGATTCTTGGCCACTAGACACAGTTTCTAACTAACACTTCTCTGATGTAAGGCACACCCTGTAGTCAAGATAAAATGAAAAGCTTCTGGGGTAATGTTACTTTTCTGTAAGATAACTTCTTTGTCCATAATCACTACTACATAGTGTCTAGCATTGCAGTGGAGGTCTTGGACAGTGCTATCAGCACAGAAAAAGAAATGAGATATTTAAAAATTGGAAAGGAAAAGGCAAAGTTGCTCTTATTTTTATTTAATGTACAAGCAATAATAACAGGAACAACAGACCAAGTACCAGAAATAATAAGAGAATTCAGCAACATTATTGGATAAAAATACTGCCTGTTCTGTTCTCCACTCCATCTCTGGTGAATCCTCTCACCCCCCACGTCTCTGGCCTGTACCTCAGTTTTTGTATGTATAAATAAATAAATCTTTAAAAAAAAAAAAGAGCGCAGACTACACTATTTGTATCCAGGTTCTGTTATTTTCTTGCTGTGTGTTCTTGGCTAAGTTACTTATTTCTCTGGGTTCAGTTTCCTTATCTGGAAAATGATGATAATGAAAGTACCCATAATAGGGTGGTTATGATTATTAAGCAAGCTAGTTTTTGTAAAAAAAAGTTAAAGGTCTAATCAAGAACATGGAATGATTTAATTTAAATTGAGACACATTTCATACCCTTAGGTAGAAGATCTTCATATATAAAGAACTCAGGACTCTTCTAATCAATTCATATATTCAATGTAATCCCATTGCAAATTACAAATATTCTGAAGAATTTAATAATAAACCTACTCTAAAATGTTTATGTCAGATTTAAAGTCCATGAATATCTAAGTTACTTGTATACTAAAGTAGGGGAGTAGCCCTACTAGATATAGACATAGTTCAAAGGGATGGCAATAAAAATGGTTGGCTGGCAAAAACAAAAAACAAAAAACAAAAAACAAAAATACAACAACAACAAAAACCCAGTCAGGTAGGCCACTGAAACTCAATAGAGAAATTAGAGACAGACTTATATTAGTGGGTGTGAAAAGTAAAATCATTACAGTAGTAGAAGAAAATGTGAGATTATCTCTATCGTTAAGAATGGGAAGGAATCCAGACAGACATCAAAACCTCAAGCCATAAGGTAAAAATACTGATTCATTGATTATAAAAATGAAGACTTTGGGGCCTCCCTTGGTGGAGCAGTGGTTGAGAGCTGGGCTGCGAGGCTGCCCGCGGCCTCTGCAGCACCGGCGAGGGTCCCACAAAAAAAAAAAAAAAAAAAAAAAAGAGTTTGTGTAGAATGAACTCCTGTTATCCATGATAAAGTTAACAGATTGCGAAAAGACATTTTGCAATGTTAAAAGCCAATAGGAGAGTATACTAGGAACTCCTGCCAGTCAACAAGACAAAGACAGAAACCCTAATGAATATGGGCAAATCTCACGAATGGGCAGTTTACAGAAAAGAAGCTCCAAAGGCTAACCAGCATCATGAGATGCTCAGATATTGCAACCAGAAAAATGCAAATGAGAGCAAAAATGAGACATTACTTTATATTGGTTAGATTGGCAAAAATCAGGACTTTGCTTGCTGACAAGTGCTGGGAAATGTGACACTCCAGGATGCTTCTTACAATGGAAGTGGACTGGTTTGACTGTCATGGAGGCTTTCTGGCATTGCTTGGTCAGATTAAATATGGGCACACCTGGTGTCCCAGGGTTCTATCTTGGGTGTGCACCCCAGAGAGTTTTTGATACTGGCCCATAAAGGGATATGTGTCAGTGTTTATTAAAATCATTGTTCGAAGCATTGGGGAGTTGGAGGCAATGTACCTGGCCCACCGCTGGGGGGCGTATGGTCAAAGTGTGCTGGCTCCACTGCGTATTCACGGCCCTTGGAAAAAATGGATTAGAAGTACATGCAGCAGCATGGATAAATATTAAACATAATACTAGGTAGCAATATAACAATAAAAATTGAACAAGATTTGTATGTACTACTAGAGGTAGATAATTAAACTCCTTGGAGTCAGATTTACTTTGGAATTAAAAATATTTGTATTTTAGAAAGGAAAGAGGCAGCATACCATGATTGAACATAATATTTCTGTAGCAAAATGAAGAGATAATTACACTAAGGGGGTAAAGACTAGAAATAACCTCATGTGCTCAGAGTCAGATTTTGCTACTGAGTTTAAGAAATGGCTTCTGGTATCCAGAGCTGTGTAGGTTTCTGAATTATGGATAGGGGATTGTGGACCCCTACTTACTTAAATGAAAATATACTCAAAATGGTAAATGTTACACAGAGTTCTTACAAATAAAGGGATGTATGTGAATTTTATTAGGAGAGGTCCAACTGAGGAGTAAGGGGGATGAGAATGAGGGATGGGGAAAAAGAAAATATGTAAATATGTTACACACACCTATTAGAAAAGAAACTAATGATGTCATGGATTACACAATGTGATCAACCCAATCCTCCTCATCTGAAATCTTCCCAGACTGTAGATGAGGACAGATACTCTTTCTAAGCAGATAACTTGAGATGTCTGCAAACTTCAAGTGTAGTTTGGTACATAGAGATAGTTTCTCTGTTAATCATTCCTTTTCCATTCAATTTGAGCAAAGGGCCAATCTGGGATCTCACATAGTTGTTCCATCAATGGAAATGGAGGGTCTTTTCAAGAATTTGGCAGAATATATTACGAGTTAGAATAAATTAGGAATAAATTAGAATATATGGTTAAAATCAGTGATTTTAATTATAGGTGATCTTGCTTCCAGGAGACTTTTGGCAATAT